GAATGATTCCGATTCGCGGGAACTTTGATTAGTTTTCGCACGGTCGAAGGGACTGGGACGGATCGGTTGACAGCCAAGGCAGAGAGGAGAGCTTCGGAATTCTGTGTGCGTTCTACTCCGTAGTTGTCTCGCAATGAAACTCCCCGTCAGTCATGCTTCCAAGTCACGTGCGTTCGAAATAACGTAATCCGGGAGACCAATAGCCGCCAATTAATATTCCGTATCGAGATACCGATGAATCGGCACGACATTCTGCCGGACACACCGAGTTTTCGTTGTCGCGCCGCTACAATATGTTGCACAACGCAGAAATCCAATTTGCCACACGTATTACGCGTTGATAGAAAGAAAACAGCTGAAAGGAACGCGAGTCTAATTGGTCAGAGGCCGATTGGAAGGAGGCATGCCTCTTCTCGCACGCGCTTCCAGCACTAATCTGGTGTCCGTCAATACAATCGCACGGTAATTAATCAATACCGCAAACAAAACAGCGAAAGACCTCACTTGCCCCTGTGCCCTCAATCAATACATAGTATGTACATCGTTAGAGGAACAGAAGAGAAATAGATAGCAATCAATCCTCCGGTGAATCAAAGATATCGCTTGGTGATCAGTAATTGTTACAGTCAATGAGTGTTTCTTTGCTCCCGATTGGTAGAAAGTTTTTTTCGGCCAGTTAACAAACTTAGTGCTCGGTCCGGTTAAAATAATCGTGTGTTCTAAACCAGTTTTGATCGTTGAAATATCAAAAGATTCAGTATTCGTTGATCTCTAGTTTATATCATTTATATTGTCAGTCGACCAAACCGAAACAGGCCTCGCGAATAGAGCAAGTCGGTGTTGACGAATCGGGGGATACAAACAAAACATGATCGCAGCGGGCGCAACTATTCGAAGAATGCGGACGGAATTCGATCCAGTCTAAATGAACGTCTTCATTGATACTGTTCATCGCAACAACATTGCAGTTCGCGAAATTCAACGCTTCTTCTTTGATTCGAAGAAGCCAATTACTGGACTCTAGGACGGCAAAATGGTGAGAAGCATTGGACAATTAAAATCCACCGAAGTTTCATGTTGTATCGTGATCTAAAAGGTATCTGTTACGAAGCAAGGGAGAAGCATTAGGCGTGAGATATGCGACAGAATGAAATTTATTCGATCGGTGGCGCCGATAGAAAACAATCGTTACAATCGTAATTCATATCTCCCTCTCCCTCGGCACAAAGGGGGACTGGACAATTGATATCAAGGCCGGCGCAGGTAACGCCGATATTCGGAACCGCGTGGGAGTAAAATTACTGCGACCGTCGGTTTATTTATTGTACGCCACCGGTTGACGGAGGACCTGGCCGGGAAAGCGATACGCGGCCACCGAAATAGAGCCGTTTCTCATTTCCTGCGACGAAGAAGAGGAGTTCTTTCGTTTAAGTGAAAAATTACGATGAAATTGAATTAAAAATGGTGCGCGTCCTCCGGGTGAAAGACACACCTCGGAATACAATTCATGGCCAATTTAAATACAACGCGAGCCGACAGAGGCGTGGGCAGACATTGCGACAACCGAAGCAACTGGGCGTTGAAAAAGTTGTCGCGAGACAAGCGATCCGAAGATACGAATAACTTGATGAATATAAATTTCAAATAAGCGATAATTGAGCAATCGAGATTCCATCGTGATTTATAGATTCTCCGATCGTTCCTGTATCAAAAAATTGGAACTTTACAACCGCCGCCTTACACACTTAAACGCATTACTAGGAGAAACTACAGCCCAAGGGATCAATTAACATTATTAAATTCCTTCGCGTGCGACCTGCTATCAACGAAACAATCCTCTCCTGTTCCGCTCGAAAAGAATTCTCCGCCGGCTCGATATCAAAGACGCGAGCCTGAATTTTGTACCCGAATATCTCGAAAATTCCCGATTGCGAGGGTTCCAGCCAGTCTCCAAACACACCGAGCGTATCGGTGATTAATATTTCATCTGCAGTTCAAACAGTCCGGTAACACGCGATTGGGTTCGAAAAATCGTTGTGGAACGTTAATGGCGTAACAGAGAGCGGCCGTGGTCAAAAGAGCGTTCGCGGATTGAGGCGAGCACGGCGAGGAGAATCAAGGAAATTATCGCTCGCGCGCGCTAAACGTTTTTTCCCGAAAAATAAGGGAACCAAAGTTTTCCCTGGCAGCAAGAACGGTGTCGCGTGCTTGATGTGGCGAGCTGAGGTGTCTAAATACCGCCTCGACTCGCCGCGGCGCCGCGCCGGAATCGAATTCGCGCCCGGGAAGGGATGAGGGAAAACGAGCGGAGCGGAGACACGAGAGCTCGAGTCCAGTTAGAGAGCCCCGAAGGATCGTGTACATCTTTATGCAGATACAGGCTCTCTCTACCAAACCGACCCTCTCCTCTCGCCGCAGCCGTGCCGACTCGGCTCCGGCGCTTTGTAAATTTTCAGGGCGAGCGCCTCTTAGGGGCCGCGCTCGCGCCCGCGCGCTCGCGCGAGAGCGCGGCACACGCGCTTTGCGGATTTTTCAATCACGTTCCGTACTGACAGGATTAATAAAGCGGCCCGACGCTACACGAAGAGTTTCCAGACTCATTTCATGCAGAATCGAATTGGATTTCCAGGTCGGGGACGGTGGTGTGTATCTCTGGCACGGCGTGTACGCGCGCGAGAGAGAGAAACGCGACCCGGCCGCCGCGCCGCGTGCTCGTCCCTTTGATGTGCCACGCTCGAATACCCGTCGAGCTTTTCTCTCGGTGATACCGGTTCCCCGCACTTTGTTACATCACCACTAAATAATCGGTTTATAAAAATTCATGGCGGATCTAGCGAGCCTCGCGCCGGTTTATATCCCACACGTTTCACGTTTCTCATCCTCCCCATTCCTCTGTCGCTCGTTGATCAAGCCGATAACGAGCCGAAAGGGTTGCGAAAGGAAAGGACACCTTTCCGGAGGACACTCCGAATTCTGATCGTTCTTTCGCATCCGTCGTTCGCGACGCGACGCTAAGAAGGCTTTTGGTGTAATGGTGAACAACGATGGAAGTGAGGGAAGAGTTATTAACAGTTAACCTGACCCACGTTTCACGCGGAAACTTACGCCTGCCTGAGGCGGTTTTAGCGCTATGCCAAGTGTCGCGCTGATGAAACACTTACGCGTGTTAGTGGAGAATTTCTGGGTATACCGGGTGCCCTGCGTAAAATAGGGTGATCTGAATAGTTTTAAAAGAGTATCGTGATCCGAAGTTCTTCTTAACAGTTTCTTTTCTTAATGGTTTTTAGATTGATGGTATAACCGACCAAAGAGGTTTTCCTTTATTATTGCAACTTGAGACGGAATGAAGTAAGTTGAAGGGTGTGGTGTACGTATAATGAACTTACACCTGCCGTATATGTATAGCAGTAAATTAAACGGTTTCGACACGCTCTGCTCGATTCTCGCTCGGACTAAGCTGTTTAAGGGATGAAACCTTTCCATCCAATTACAAATGCGGGAATTAAGCATGTGAACCAGTTTAACTTTATTAAACCTCGCTCAGTTCTCGAATTATTGCCATTCTGTGAAAAGATTCCAATGCAACGTGCTCTCGCAAAGCCGTAAATCGTCAAAATAATTCGAATCTGAACAAAATAAATAATAAAAGTCCACGAATGTATTCAACGGTTGTCAACGTATCACTTACGATTAGGACACAGATTAATAAAAGAAACAACATTGTTCTTTCGTAGAATGAAATCAAGCACGCGATTTCCCAAGAATTCTCTCACAGTAACAAAAACCATCGAATAAATAACACTTCGAATCGGACGAAGGGAAAGGTTCGTCGCGAAACAGCATCATTCGCTAAGCGACCCATAATTAGCGAATCGATCGAAGGGAATTGAATAAAACTGACTGGCGTCACAGGAAGATTGAGCCGTCCTGTACGATCGGGGAAGACGAGAATAAGAGAAGGTGAGGGACGGTGAAATAGAAAGAGTGAGAAGGAGAGACAGAGAAAGAGAGAAAGTTAGTCGACGAGCGGTACGCGTAGGGTTGAGGGTTGAAGCCGGAGGGTAGAGCCGGAGGATTGGTACGTTTTTAGTGGTTGCAGCACTCGAACGTGCCAGGGCGAATATATCCTGCACGAGTGCACGCGTACACGCGCGCGACACGACAGGCCGGTGTGTACACGTGCACGGGCGCACACAACCGTACAGTGTGCTTTTATTCTTGCTATCACGGTGCACGTGCAAAAGCGCTGGACGGCTCTCCGAATATTTTCCTTCTAATTTAATTTCACCAGCCGGGAGTGCAGCGCACGCATTACTTCGCACGTATCCGGCAAGAGGGAGCAGATTGAGATCGAGATGGGGGAAGAAGCGCCACCGGTATAACGATGTACGCCGGTGATTTTTTAAAAGGCCGATTAAGAAACGTATCTCGAGCGGTTATAAGGAAACTCCGCGCGGCGGTTTGATTTTTATCTTTTCCCCTCGGGCACCGGCCGACCACGAGATGTCCCCGTAATATCTCGACGTATCCCGTTGATTACGGGCAACCCCTCCCGTACGCCAGCCGACCGCGCGCGACACTCGAAAACACTTGAATTCAGAGGAACTCGCGGCAGGTGCATTTATCAAATGACCGATCTCTCGCGCTGCCACCCCCGACGACGCCGCTTCCGACGTACTTTACAGCTCGGACGAATTTTATGCAGATCGTATCCTGGGACGTCAGGCGTCACCCTGACACTGACGCGCCGATCTAAATAGAGATTAATCGATTCGTAATACGCGGGATTGATGAAAGTTTCATTCGCCCACTTTATATTATTCGATCCGCGTTCTGAATATTTCAGCGTCGCTTTTATCTGATTTCGGCGATGAGAGAAAAATAACGGCATCAAATATTCGACTGACCCTTTTGGAATGCTCATCGCGACGCATTCCACTTTGTCAATCGTGGATTTCTGTAGCTCTACTGAACGTATCGCAATTGCTTTTGTGTTGCAGTATTATCTCTGAGAACGTGCGCAACGTCCTCGACAAACTCAACCACAACGCAAGCGGAAGAGGAGGATGAGGAATCCTTGCCGCAGATAACGCTGGACGAGTTCAAAGAAAGATACAGAAGACTGATACCCTACATGACTTACTATGTCGCGAACAACTACGTGAACGGGCAAACACCGTTGCCGCAAAAGGTTGCGAATGAGTATCAAAGCAGTGCCTTGCTGAGGAAAGAACCGCAATTCTTCGTCAGGTTAAACAACGCGGCCAGAAAGGGGAATATTCATCGTTTGAATCCTCAAAGTACTGACAGGAAATTCATTCCCTCGGTGCAGTATGATCCTCACCGTGTGGGAAGTGACAATGATTACTTCGCTCCTGTTAGGTACAGCGCTAAAGTTGGCCACGATGATTATTCGGTTCAATATCAAGGATACCAACATCAGAAAACAGCGTACCTCGACGTCACAGCTACACCGAGCCAGATCTCACGCAAGGAGCACAGGTACTATCCAAACGTGAGACCATTACGACCTTACGCGACAAACGGTCGAGACCACTTGCCCAGAAAACAACTGGCTAAGCCAGTGCCCGGCAACGTTCGAGACGACTACCCGCTAGATTATAACGGCAGGCCAACTGTAAATGGAGTTCATTATCCTGCGAAGGAGTTCCAAGGACATCGACCATCCCCGCCGCACGCGTACTCCACCGTGGCGTCCCCCGAGCCTGTCCAAGGCAAGCAACCCCTGCCGAGCCCCCAATTAATTCGAAATCCGAATGTAAACCTGGATCAGATAGTCGAAAGTTTGCACCTAAGCGAACGCTTACCCGAGGTGCTGAACAGAGACAACATCGATAACAGTTTAAGGACACTGGCGGAGATACTCAACATCCTCCATAATAAGAAGAAAGGGGAATACCCGCTGGTACAACAAGCTCCATTGACACCGCTGATAAAAGCACCACCGAGATTACCACAAAAAGTACAGAGTGTCAAAGCAAGACCGCAGACGAGACCGAAAGTGATCACCGAAACGCGATTCCAAGTCACACCGAACCCACTGTACCTGACCGACGATCCGGAGCGTTACAAACTGACGTACGAGGACGAAATAGATCCTGAACCACCGGCCCAGTCGGGCTACTTAGAGGACAACCTAAGTAACCAGAAACTCGAGCCGAACTTCATGAGAGACCATCTAAACAACCACAAGCCTGAGCCAACTTATGTCGGGAATAGTCTAAATAATAAGCTGCTAGAGTATTACATCCCGGTGGTTCAAGATATTCCGGAGAAGAACAAAGACGTGTTCCTGCCGACTATCAGGCCCCATGTGAATCATCACCAGTACCCCGGCGACGGTTCCACCGAAAATTCTTACGAGATCACGGAGGATTTCAACGACGACGTGTTGCAGCAGGGTCGATACCCTTCGACGCCAGCGACCACGGAAAGTCCGGCTTATAGTTATACGGAGCCTAATAAAATTTCAACCCCAAAACAGAATGTCCCGCAGACGTCGGTAAAGTACGGCGCCACGCAGGGAAAAGCTAACGTTGATTATCCAGCTTATTCAAGCATACCGCTAACCAACTTCAGCTGCAAGGAACAAAGGTACAAAGGATTCTTCGGGGATCCGGAAACCGGATGTCAGGTACGATTAAAAATATTACATTAGTAATATTTCGGATAGATTAATTATATGAAGCTTTTATAGATAGCGCACGTTCATTCGCGGAGTACTAGAGACTTCAGTGTTATTTTTAGGAAGTTAACAATTATTTTTAATAATTGCAGGTGTGGCACTATTGCGACCTCAACGGTGGTAAATCGTCATTTTTATGTCCGAATGGTACTATATTCAGCCAAGTGGCCCTAACATGCGACTGGTGGTTTAACGTGAAGTGCGAGACGACCACTCAATTATACGTGCTAAACGAACGGCTTTATAAGTACATCTTGCCGGTAATGCCAAAGTTTCCAGAGGACTTCACCGGGCCGGAAGTAGATCGGTATTTGGAACTAAAATTCAAGGAGATGGAGGCGAAGTTGAAGGAGAAGTTGAAGAAGGAGGAAAAGGAGAAGCTCAAAGATAAACCAGAAATGGAGAAGGAAGAAGAATGATGAATACTTAGTTTATAGTTAAATTATTGTAATTTTAGCGATCTAAGCTCAGCGCGTAAAGGACCAATCCTTGTTGCCATTATTTATTCTAAATAGCAACAATCTTTAAGTCGCATGCCATGCATTGTCGAATGCGGGCGGATTTTGTGAAACTTGAAAATGTGCAATATGTATATTATAGGTTTTTGTGCGTGATTTATGTTTAGCGTACGTTAGGAGAAATTTTCGATACGAGATCTCTATGTTAATGAAATCAAATTATCCTGTTCCACTAAGATATGAAGACAATCATGACATCAAAATTAATTATTCAAGCACACGATAAGCAGTTAGGAAAGCCAAAACATGTACGAAATAACTGAATAATGTCAATAAGTATTTTCTTTCCCTCTAGTCATATTTCTACTGCGTGATTATTTATAACAGGATATGCTCTATTATTTTATAGAAAATTTTTGCATTTGTATATGTATCATACGGATTGATGTTAATTATATTTTTCGTTAAGGGTATCACGTGCACAGTATGCTGTTCTGAATGACAACGAACATAATAATAAATTAATTCGACACTTTCCCACTTTTGAGGGAACAATATGTAACTATTAGAAGTATGTATTAGAATGTAACAACGTTTCAATTTTCTATTTGTACTTAATAGTTGTTACAAGTATTGAACTTATTTATTTATCATTTTGTAATATATGATAGGTAATATTCTTCTGTATATGCAATAAAATGATAGACTTTCTTCCAATAAACGCATACGTTGAAGTTGAGACTTACCTTTTGCGCCTGATGAATCCTCTGCAACCTCTGAGCGACACACGTGCACATCTCATGGAAATCGATGAGGAAGTCCGTATTCTGGGAAAAAGATAAAGATACCTTTTTTATTTTCTATATATAAGGTAGTCGAAAAAGATATTTGTTTGAATTCTATTAAATATACAAACCTTGTTAACTAATGACACATAATTGTGTTTCTTATGTAATCTCAACATACAATGAGAGCATCCAGCTATCTCACAATTTTCACAATAATACCCCAATGGTTCTTTGCATCGTTCTGAACATGTATTTTGAACAATAAGAGCATCTTCATTGTTACTGTTAGATAAAATAATTTTGGAATGTCCTTGCAATGCTCGTCCATGGATCTGACAAAAGAAACAGCAGATATGGTTTCACTTACCAATGCTTTTTATTATATATACCTTAGTAAATTTTTTGACATAATAAAAATTCATGTGAAATATAATATTTTTTATTACATATTACAACAATAATAAACTGCATCGCATCTTCAAAAGAATTTGTGGAAATATAAGGAAAAATATAAACAAAATATATATACATATATTTATATATACCTTGGTATAACAACTTAAACAATAAAGAGCATTGCACTGGGGACATTTTATTGATGCCTGAACTCCACATTCATAACATAATCCTGAAAATAAAGTTGATTTATTTTCAGGAAGGTTTAATATTTTCTTTCATCTTTCGAAAATACAAACCTTGTATACATTGTTGTTTCACTCTAGAACTAATTGGCTTAAAGAAACATATGTCTGAGTCATCAGTACCCACTGGTCGATTGTGGGATACGATCATTAGTCCCAATGCATACATGTTTAAAGGTAACAAAGCAGTCTGATCATTATTGTACTTAGAAGTCATATTACATACAAAACAAGGTTTGTTATAGGCAGTCTTTGCACATTTATCGCATATGACATGTCCGCATTGCAATAATAAAGGAATTAGCCCCCGTAAAGGTACAAATTCTGAAACAAACAAATTTAAGAACTTTTTTTAAAGGAAATAATATATTGAACCATAAATTAACGAATGTCATATAGAAGAAATATATTCTCTGAGAATTTCAAATTAAATAGTGTTCTAACCTCTACAATACTTGCATTTGCGTTCTTAATATGTATTGAGACTGTAAATCGACATTGAACCTAACTTAGTTTCACTATAAAGATATTTGTAAACATAGTGGGATAGAATGTAAACAGAAATAGCAACTAATTTCTAAAACTAACAGTTCAATGCTATGAAATTACAAAGTAATATTTTGTATAGCATTAGTATATATGTTTCTCGTGTAAGTAAAAAAAATGTAGAAAAGCCGGTACACGTGTGGCTCGAAAGAATCAACAATTACCTCGAAGAAAAAACTGGTGTCTGCACTGAATACAGTACACGTTTCGCAATTTCGTCGAAGGAAAACTATAATTGCTAGGTTGTTTATTATCATTCCGTGCTATAAACATTTTGTTAAACGAATCTTTTCTACTCATTTAGTTAGAACACGCACTATTGCAAGTCGAAACACTGTTTAAACTTTACACGCCGCAACAGACCGTGCAGAAACTCAAGCGTCACACATTTGAATTGTAGCCCAGTGCCGACACAAACTATCTGTGAACCCATGCGCTTTAATCTCTAATGATTCGGGTGAAATATTTGTCATTATAATTGACAGATATATAATCAAATATTTTCTTCATACAATAATTATATGGTATATGTGTTTTACTCACTAAATACGAGACAAAAGAAAGATTCACTTATTACAAATATGTAAATAAAGTTCCCATGAGCAGAACTTTCAAAGTACGTTGCAAGTCACGTGACTACCGGATTTGTATGAATATTAGAGTTAGTTAAAATCTTACCGTATATTGCATTGCAGCAAATTCTTGAATAAAAGTAAGTTAAAAAATATGAACATATTAACAAATTTAATAGACGGTTGTATTTTTAAATGTTATTGAAGGTTGCATTTTGCAAAAGAAATTTAACATCAGTTTGCATGATCAATTTATCTCGGAGCTTGGTTAAAAATTAAAGAATCATTATGCGCGTTATGTACCAGAGCATAACTAATTCAAATAGGCAGTCACATTACGTTTCATGTCATAAACGTATTAATAATAAAAGGGTACCACTCTATCGTTGCTTACACCCGTCATACAGTGTTATTACCATTATAGAAGATATAAATTAAATCTATATTTCGCAGAGTACCTCAATAATGATTATTACAATTACTTCAATTATGAGAATGTAATTCTACTACTGATTGTTCTATCTAAAATTTAACAAATTATCTGCTGCACTAACCCAAACAGAAGATAATAATAAAATACGCTTTAGAATCTAAAACACGATATAAATTATATTGCGTAACGAATATTACATATTTTTATCACGTAATTAAAAAAATAAGAAGTCTTCGTAACTTTGCACAGTTGAAGATCGACATACGCCGGTTAGTTATGTATCTGATCGGTAGTTCCCAGCACAAAACCGGTGCGAATCTAGTCACGTGATTAGAAGCGTCTCGCGATCCTCAAGACAGATGCCGCCGTGATCTCGAGAACTGTACAATTTGGCAAAAACATAAAAAGGCAGGTGGATAAGCGAAGTTATGTTGGATCCATTGGATTCTAGGCGCGGTCGCGACCGAAGGTCCGTTATGATCCCACCCAGCGCGATCGCTTCAGCGAGCAAGAGACTCGTGAACCTCGATCGCCATGTTCTGAATAGATACAAAAGACCTGTATAATATTTTAAATAGATAACCACAGACGCTTGAAAATTATCAAATACAGATGATAAAATACACTATTTTTAACAGTCTCGTTTACAATACCAAATATTTTTTTAACATTCCAAGATATGCTCCGTACAAAGTACAATAGTATCAAAGTGCAAATCTCGAAGATATTTTTCAGTCCCACTTCTCCACCGCATCTTTGCGGGATTGGTACGTTCAAGACAAACATCTCTAGAAATATTCATCTCTAAGTAACTACAGATAGAAAGTCTGCGGCCCAGTGTCTGTTCTGAATATCTGTACAGGAAACACGTCCCGTCATGTTGCATTTTAAATGTTCCTTCCCCAGACCTTCTGTTTCGCTGACTTCGTATTAAAAATAAGGCAACCGAACAAGTGGATAGCAACTGACAACCTCTCCTTTAACTTTCCTTCGTACAGAATATTTCAAAACACTATTTCTAAACCTAGTCATTTCCGAACCCAACTGATTAATTCTCAAAATACAGTTTCCCAAACAATGTTCCTCGCTCGAAATATTCTATCCCAGCAGAACACCTCTGCAAAGATCTCGAAATAATTGCCGCTCAATGATTTGCTCCAAACAAAATTGCCGGAGATCGAGACAGCGATAATTCGCGTTTTCATCTTTTACGTAATCGTCACGATCGCGCGGCTCGCACAGGTCGTTGGATAGGTGAGGCAAGGAGAAGGAGGAAGCGAGATATCGGATTTAGGCCGCCGCTCGAAACAACAGTATCTACAGCGAAGCGGTCTCTGGACTCGGCAAGCCGAGCGAAAGAGCTGTAGCAAGGTCTAGGCTGGCTGGCATTCAAGGTCGCGTGCACAGCGCAAAAGCCCCGGATCTATCCCCGCCCCAGATTTCTAGCGCCCTTTACCTCACTACCTCGCTCCTTCCTCCTCGCACTCTTGCATTCGCACATTTCACCGGCTCCGGGCCTCTCCTTCGCTCCTTCTCCGTCCTTCTCTCGGTCACTCCGCGATTTTCTCGCTCCTCCCCGCAGCTCCCGATATCACGCTTTGCCCGTTCCATTCCCCACCACAAGTCGTCCTCTTCCCGCCAAGCCTAGCTCTTCGGTCTCCTCTCGCACCTCCCCTCTTCCTCCTTTGCCCTTTCCGCATGCAACATCGATTTACCCATAAAAATTCCCCGCACTCAACTCTATCACTTGGCTAGTACTTCCTGCCGGGCTTGGGTATCTCTCCGGTTCGGGATTCACCGTTGTAATATGCAACAAAAGTATGATCGATCCGCTGGATAATTCAACATTCGCATGCCTCGCGTTGCTTGAAATCGCTTATTTACATGCCCGGTGCACGTGTGCTCGTATATACGTGTATCACGTACGTATATAGAAGGCAACATTCTGCGTGAGTACCTACACGCGCGCGCAAACTCGCTAGGAGTTGGATGTCGGGCCGAACCGAACAGAGAAAATAAAGACGTACCTACCTTGCGTAAACTAAGAAGCAAGATACTCCGTCGGCTCGTTGGGGACGAGTCGTACGAGTATTTCCTGCTTTGGCTCGCGAACACGGATCGGGAAAACAATCGGCGAAGCTGGCAAACGGCTGAAAATGGAATTTACACGAGAGATAATGCTGCAAGTGTCGCGTTTAGCGATGGGATTGAGCGAGCGCACACTCCCAAATCAGCTTCTACGATAACTGCGCGCGATCTGTTTAGAATCAAGTAAGTCCTGCTGAGGGAAATTGTACCTGGATACTGATAACTGTGCGATCTCTGAGATTCGATAAAGGAAAAAAGGCTAGCGGTGTGTTCGAAGGAGGGAGATAGAGACTCGGAATCGTTAAAGGATAATCTTAAGCACCGACGAACGGCGAACAACAACATTTGTTGAAGTTCGTATTAGGATACAAATAAATGACCAAGCCTTTACACAACCTTGTCACGAATGAAGAACGCTTTCGCAGATTAGAGATCATTTAATAATCGAATTATGGACTTCACGCGTTTACGATGGATGTAAATGGAATAAATAAAACATAACGATACATCTCAACATGCTTTTCATTTTCAGTTGAATCAAACCATAAATACAGGGACTGCATCCTTCATTTACATTTCACGTTTGAAAGCTGGTCCATAAAGTTTAGAATTTCCTCGAATTTCCATGATCTATTCGCAAATACCAATTTGTATTCCGCAAATGTAATACGGCTGCGAATAAAAAAACAGGAATAGCTCGGAAACCGAGAGTATAAGTGAATTATTATTTCCGGTCGAGCGGGCATATCATTTTCATTCGAAGTTACCGGAAACAGTTCAAGGTGTTCGGTCTAGTGCGTTATTGTCCAAGGAATTCGAGAAAAATTCTTAAAATTCTTGGCGCATACCCGACATTACTCAAAGTGTGTTTGATCCCATCGCTATATAGTCACAATATCCTGACTCGGTTCTAAATTCAATTCCGCTGACCCAGTTTAGGTCCTACGTGACACGATGGAGATTCGGAGGCTGTTCTCAGTTTCCCTACGCCCGCCATCCCGTTTACATCGCAAGGGATACGAAATGCGTCGTCTCGCGGCACGCGAAATGCGTCCTGTAATACGTGGAAATGCGCGTTACCGTGATAAAAATTCGGGCTGCGGCGAGGTTTCGTAGGGAACTAATATCGAAGCCGAGCGAGAGGAGAATTTCTTGTCGCAGGAATTGTCGCCACTCCCACAAAAAGCGCGAGGGATAGAGGGAAAGAGGGAGAAAGAGAGAGGGTGGCAAAGAGAGAGAGAGAGAGAGTGCGAGAGAGAGAGAGAGA